CAGTCTATTTCATCTTTCTGCGTTCATCGAATGGTCAAATCAATGTGCTACCTAAACATTGAGCTTTTTCTTGTATCAAGCCTTCTTGTAAATGGTTTAATTGTAAACGGTGACTGTTTGATGGCGAACGTTGAGTTCCTCGGCGATTTCTGAGCTGCTTACGTGCTCTTTCTCGACCATTTGTACGCTGGCACGGATCCCTCTTGTGGGAAGGCCCTACGGAAACTATGTAATCTCAGGCTTCAGCGACTTCGACTAAAAAGCTAGCGGGCCACGTAATTGTGCAGAGGATGCGGAGGAAGCGAGACAGGGGGTAGAGAGGTGGTCGCAGCATTTACCACTTTTGGCACGTGTTTACTGCTGAAGAAGACATGGAAGGTGACCAGCTGAGCAACCAGCGGGCTGCCACAGTTTCTCGAGTACTTGATGGCGTCGAGGGTCGCCGGGAAGTCTGTGCCAGGGGCGTGCATCGCGATCGATATCGGTGCCCTCCATCGCTCCAGCAGAGGCTCCAGATTGTCCAGGAACGTGTAGTCCGCGTGGGTGGTGTACGTCACGCTTTCCCAGCATCTCACCGCCATGCTCATCGGCACGTAATTGTACAGGACCCAGTAATCGCCACGCTGTGCTCTCCTCGGCGCCGAGGACTTTTCGTTGCAGAGCACCGCCTCCTGCAGGCTCATCGTCGGCAGGACGGTCGGCGGATTCACCTTCACCTTAAAAACAAACACGTATTAAACTTCAGGAAAGAGGACTCGCTAGATTTTGATTTTGATTACGTTGTCTCGAGAGTTTCTTCCGTTTCATTAATAAGCAATACATACATTTTACTGCATTACTGTTACGATATTAGCATCTAAAAAATTAGGTTGTTTATTTACATGCAAGTCACGGAAGAAACTTTTGGGACAATACTTTCCAAGCTAAACATGGTACGAGTAAACTATACATATAAAAAGGTTTCTTCTTATCGCGTGTAAGAAGTTGTACTCTGTGTTTTTTTTAAGCGATAGTGTAACATAGAGTTCCCAGTTGGCGTGAAGCTGGTGTCCAGCGTACCTCTTCCTTGGAGAAGGGCTCCGTGTCGACCTTGGCCTCGTTCGGCGTGGGTTTCATGGTGAGAAGCCTCGTCCTGGTCATGCTGGTGGCGTTGCCGCGCTGGGAGACCTTGCTGACAGCGACCTTGCCGTTGGCATCCCTGGTAGCTGGTACCACCGACGACGTGGCGCCCTTCTGCGTGCCGTTGGCGATGTCCACGGCGCCGAAAGTCTCCGATTGCAACGGCGCCGCCCAGTTGGTCGGCGGTTCCTCGATCCAGGGCCCGGAGGAGCCGAAGTGGGCGCACACGTACAGCAACACGCAGATGTTGAGCACCACCGACACGCGAAGTGCCCAATTTCTACGCAGGATGCTGAACATGCTCATTCTCCAACCTCCCCCAGGTCCGCGCTCCAGCTACCCCGGCTCCGTCCGACCTCGGCGATCCGTTCCACCGTTTCACCACCCCCGGGGGGCCGTCGCGATCAGGATCTGAGCATGGCTTCAGCTGTCCTCGACCTCCTCCTTCTGACCCCTCCCTGAAACACGCACGGTAAAGTCTCCATAAATACACGAATATCTCT